TCATTTCAGACATTTGTAACGAACCTGTGCTCCGTCGCAAGATCACTCACTTCAAACGCTATCAGTTTCACGCGTCTCGGATCCACGGTTCCTCAGTTTCAGACGACATGTCAAATAACGATGCTGTTATAGAATCTACCGACTGTTGTCGGGTTCCCATACAATCAACAAATACATTCACGCCTGGATTCTTCACAAAACGAGCAAAGAGAAAAGTTCGAACTAACTTCCAAAAATAACTCCCTCGTGGAGGTCAAGGTCCCATTCACGGTGTTCACTGTATTTATCCATGCGCGAAATTTGTTCCGGGGGAAAATCGAAACAATTTCAAATCTGACTTTCAGCTCAGATTTCTATTGATAAACTGGAATCACCCTATAGACATACTAAATTGTGGAATAAATTTGAAGTGTTTGTTAAAATGTCAAAGCACTACTTTGTTTGCCAATCAGCACGCGACAATACGCTTTTCAAACTATTGAACGAAATTGTGTGGACTGTCGATAAGGCGGGCATTTTTAATTTTAATTATAAATTATAAGTTAAACAAGAACATAAGAGGCAGAGAAAACGTAAATATAAGTATTGAACTGTTTTTGTATGATATTTATGATCTATTTGAATGACACAGCGCGCATTATGTTGTTTGCTTGCAAACTGTGTCATTCAAATAGATCATAAATATCATACAAAAACAGTTCAATGCTAAAGTATCATCATAGCTAACATCAATAAAGAATCTGGCCTCTTAACAACATAACTTATATCAATAAAGTAGGTGGTCTCTCACATATATGTATCATCATAGCTAACATCAATATAATAGCTTTCCTCTTTTTATATATAGCAGCTTGCCTCTTATCATCATAGCTAACACAATATAGTAGCTGGCCTCTTATCATCACAGCTTACACCATACAGTAGCTGTCCCCTTATCATCATACCTAACATCAATATATTAGCTTTCCTCTTATCATCATAGCTTACATCAATATAGTAGCTTTCCTCTTATTATATACAGACAGCAGCTTGCCTCGTATCATCATAGCTAACATCAATATACTAACTTTCCTCTTATCATCATATCTTACATCAATATAGTAGCTTTCCTCTTATCATCACAGCTTACATCAATATAGTAACTTTCCTCTTATTATATACAGCAGCTTGCCTTGTATCATCATAGCTAGCATCAATATACTAGCTGGCTTCTTATCATCATATCTAACACAATATAGTAGCTGGCCTCTTATTATCATAGCTAACACAATATAGTAGCTTGTCTCTTATCATCATAGCTAACACAATATAGCAGCTGGCTTCTTATCATCAAAGCTAACACAATATAGTAGCTGGCCTCTTATCATCATAGCTAACACAATATAGTAGGTGGCCTCTTATCATCATAGCTAACACAATAAAGTAGCTGGCCTCTCATCATCATAGCTAACACAATACAGTAGCTGGCCTCTTATCATCAAAGCTAACCCACTACAGTAGCTGGCCTCTTATCATCATAGCTAATATAATTATA